TGATTGGGTAAAATTAAGGAAACCAATTAATTAAATTAATTGGCTGAAATTGGGGAAACCAATCAATCAAATTTATTGGATAAAATTAAGGAAATTACCCAATAAGATTGGGATTTGACGAGGACGCTTATTTGACCTAGTCTTAGGTGAATGAGTCGCCACATCTATATATAGCCCATCTTCTTCCTTAGTTTTGTATGTCTTCTTCATCTCTAATTTTCTCCACTGAAACCTTAGCCAACACACACATCAGTGTGGCGGCTATCTCTCTCTTGGAATAACCAAAGGCACTACCTAATCTCTATTCTTCTCTTGAGTCTAGCAATCTCCATTGAAGGAGATTGGGCATTCAAAGAAGGGTTCTTCTCTTACAAGACAACAAGGTGGTGTGGATTTCCATCGGAGGACTTGTGTTCTTCAAGTCTGAAGAATTGATCAAGAACGCATTTGATCAGGAATAATAATCCGAATAAAAGTATCTACTTTAAACCCTAACATGTCTATTGCATGATTCATGGGTTAAACATGATTGAGGGTGGGCAAAGGTTGCTTCTTTCGCTTAAAAAAATTTAATTTTTCCCTCTTTCATGTTTATGGCCTACAAAGGCAACTTACAGAGCATGCCTTAAGGACTCAGGGCTAGTGTGACAAGCTAAAGGAATTCGTCAATCTCTGTGAGAGATTAGGTTATCCGTAGAGCGGCGAAACCTGGATGACATTTACGGGACTCGGGAATCTATGCATAGTAAAAGAGTCATGAGATGGCCCGCTCTTTAGAATCCGTAAATGAAGATTCCTTGTTTCGGCAAAAGCTAACCCTAGACCGCAGGGGTTGATATGTTTTCCTTGACCTAGGTCAATGGGATGGATAACCGAGACGAAAGGACAATTCACACGATAACCAAATAGGTATAACAGGTTGATCATTCGATGAACTCGACTAGCTCTGGGACAACAAAGCATTGCTAGTGCTCTGTGTTGTCATTAGATGGATTGTGCCTAATGGGCCCAAACCCATTTATGTCAGTGGCTACGTTGGGCCTGATGGGTCGCACACAAACACCTTAAGTTGTCTTGAATTCTAGCATATGTGTTTTGGGCCTAATAAGGCATAATGTGCCTAAGTTGGAGAAGCCCACATATTGGGCCAAAAGAGAGTAGGTTGCATCATGGGTCAAGTTGGACTTGATCCATGATGTAACCTAATTAATTTAAATGGTAAATTAATAAAATTGATTTGAATTCTAATTTCGAATTTCGTATTTGAAATTTGAATTTAAATAAAATTAATTTAAATTCTAATTTGGAGTTTCGAATTTAAAATTGGAATTTAAATATAGTCATTAAATTAGATTTATTTAAGATGGAGAAAATAAAGGAAACCAATCAATTAGATTGATTGGAAACAAATCAATTGGATTGATTGACCAAAATTAAGAAAACCAATTAATTAAATTAATTGGCTGAAATTGGGGGAAACAAATCAATTGTATTGATTGACCAAAATTAAAGGAAACCAATTAATTAAATTAATTGGCTGAAATTAGGGAAAAAATCAATTGGATTGATTGACCAAAATTAAGGAAACTAATTAATTAGGTTAATTGGCTGAAATTTGGGAAACCAATTAATTGGATTGATTTGGTAAAATTAAGGAAACCAATTAATTAAATTAATTAGCTGAAATTGGGGAAATCAATCAATCAGATTGATTGGATAAAATTAAGGAAATTACGCAGTAAGATTGGAATTTGATGAGGGCGCTGATTTGACCTAGTCTTAGCTTAATGAGTCGCCACATCTATATATAGCCCCTCTTCTTCTTTAGTTTTGTATCTCTTCTTTATCTCTAATTTTCTCCACTGAAACCTTAGCCAACACACACATTAGTGTGGCGGCTATCTCTCTCTCTTGGAATAACCAAAGGCACTACCCAATCTCTATTTTTCTCTCGAGTCTAGCAACCTCCATTGAAGGAGATTAGGCATTCGAAGAAGGGTTCTTCTCTTATAAGACAACAAGGTGGTGTGGATTTCCATCGGAGGACTTGTGTTCTTCAAGTCTGAAGAATTGATCAAGAACGCATTTGATCATGAATATAATTCGAATAAAGGTATCTACTTTAAACCCTAACATGTCTATTGCATGATTCATGGGTTAAACATGATTGAGGGTGGGCAAAGGTTGCTTCTTCCGCATAAAAAATTTAATTTTTCCCTCTTTCATGTTCGTGGCCTACAAAGGCAACTTTCAGCCATGAATCAAATGTTTCGACCCTATTTGAAGAAGGTTCATCATAGTTTTTTTTATGACATCTTAATATATAGTGGGTCCTTCTTGCAACATTTGGATCATCTTCGGTTAACACTGGCTTGTTTACAGCAGAATCATTTTATGGTGAAGCTTAGCAAGTGTGGTTTTGCATTGTCAGAAATAGACTATTTTGGGCATTTGGTTTATGGAGAAGGAGTCAAGGCTGACCCAAGGAAGATAGAAGTAATGATGCAATGGCCTCAACCCAAGAACATTAAGCAGTTGAGAGGGTTCATAGGTCTTACGGGTTACTACCGACGTTTTATTAGACAATATGCTTGTGTGGCAGCTCCTCTTACAGCTCCTCGTTGAAAGAAGCAATGACTTCCACACCAGTTTTATCATTGCCTGACTTCTCTTTACCTTTTATTATTGAAACAGATGCATCTTCATTTGGGATTGGTGCTGTATTGTTGCAAAAAAATAAACCTATAGCCTTTTTCAGCAAGAAATTGAGTCCTAAAATGAAAGCTGCATCAACATATGTTAGGGAGCTTTTTGCTATAACCGAGGCTGTAAAAAAATGGCGTCACTATCTGCTGGATTCTAGATTTATAATTAGAACTGACCACAGAAGTTTAAAGGAGCTCCTTTCTCAAACTATCCAAACTTTGGAGCAGCAAAAGTATGCCTACAAGCTGATGGGGTATGATTTTTCCATTGAATAAAAACCTGGTATAACTAATATTGTTGCTGATTCTTTTTCCAGAAGAGATGAGGAAGATGATCCTAGTAAGTGCTTAGCCCTTGTCTCAGAAATTTCATTTAAAATTGTTGATCAGATTAAGAAAGAGAACAATACAGATCCTGAATTGCTACTCATTCATTCGAAATAGGAGAAAGGTGAATGTTCTGATTTGTGTGTATCTGAGAGGAATGGAATTTTATTCCATAAAAATTGCTTTCTCTTTAGCTCAAATTCTCAGTTGAAGCAAGAGTTACTGTCAAAAGCTCATGCCACTTTATTGGGGGGCCATGCTGGTGTGACACGCACTCTCCTTCGTTTATCAGCCTCTTTTTATTGGCCACAAATGAAGAAAGTTGTTACTCGGTTTATCAAGGAATGTGCTATTTGTCAGTTTGTTAAGACAGCCACAACTCCTCCATTTGTGTTATTGCAGCCTTTGCCAATTACAAATGGAGTGTTTGAAGATCTTAGCATGGATTTTATAACTGGACTATCCCGTGGCTTTTCTGTGATCTTGTAGTGGTAGACCGCCTTACAAAATATGCACATTTTGGTGCATTATCAAACCCATATACAGCAGCAAGAGTAGCAGCACTATTCTGTGATATGGTGGTGAAACTCCATGGGTACCCAAAAACCATAGTTTCTTATAGGGACAGTGTGTTCTTGAGTCAGTTTTGGACCTTGTTGTTTAGATTCAGTGGAACAAAGCTGCATACAAGCACCGCGTATCTCAATCTGACGGACAATCGGAAGTTACAAACAGATATTTAGAACAATATCTTCGAGCTTTCTGTTTCGATGAGAATCATAGGTGGTCATTATATTTGGGGTGGGCTTAGTTGCATTATAATACAGCCCATCACTCTTATATTGGCATGAGTCCATTTCAAGCATTATATGGGAGGCTGCCAACAATGATTCCTTATTACCATCAAGGCTTGGTTAGAGTGGAAGTTGTGGATTCAACCTTAACTCATCGCAATGAATTATTGGCTCAGCTTAAGAATCATTTGCAAGGAGGCCAAAATAGGATGAAGGTGCAAGCAGATAAACATAGGAAGGACATCTCTTTTGCTGTGGGAGATTTAGTCATTGTGAAACTCCAGCCCTTCAGGCAGATTACGGTTGCAAAAGGACAGAATCAGAAACTGTCAAAAAGGTACTTTGGCCATTTCCCTGTTATTAGAATTTTGAGCCCGGTGGCTTACCAATTGCAGCTGCCAAATGGGAGTAAAATACACTCATCCTTCCATGTATCAATTTTGAAACCGTTCAAGGGTGATCATCCTGATTTGGTTGCAACCTTGCCTGTTCTAAATCATGGTAACTGCCATGTTCAAGAGCCTGTGGCTGTCCTTATGTCTCGTAAGGGTTCAGGCAAAAATTCATCTGGCACTCAATGGTTGATCCAGTGGTCTCATGCTTTACCAGAGGATGTCACTTGGGAGGATGAGGCTGACCTTAAATTGTACTACCCTCACTTGAACCTTGAGGACAAGGTTGTTTTGCAGGATGGGGGCAATGTTACGAAGAGGAGGAGTGGAGCTCCAAATTGGGTAAAAGACTTTGTTGTTAATATTCATTAGGAACATAATTGTTAGATATAATACATTGTATAGAAGTGGTTACTTGAAGGTATTAGAAAAAGAACAGGACGTTACACGTTACTCATATAGCCATTGTAATTGTAATTGTGACGTGGCATTGGTTATTACGTTCATAGCTTGCTGTCATTATAATAAAAGGGACAACTGTTGTAATTGGAACCATTCATTCAGAAAATAAAAGAAAATTGTTCTCTTGTTTCTTATTTCATCCCTTTTCCTCTGTTAAGGGTACAAACCCTTATCATAATATGGGGGGGGGGGGTTTTTTTTTTGTAATGGACAAAAATGAGAACCGTGTTTTTTTGTTAGAGACCCAAAAAGAATTTTTACTCTTAAAAAAAATAAAAACAAAAAAAACCATCGGATACATGATTTTGATTTCTGAATTACATAACTACACTGAGAGCATAGCACTAATCACATGCAAACAAGAACAGAGTTCTCATAACAGCCTGCAAGTTTACATGATGTAGGCAACATGCTTAACTAGCAAGTGACAAGAACACAAAAATGGTAATAGATGGAATGACCCCAACAAATTGAACGAACAAAATCACATCTTGAAACTTATCTCCGTGTTTCTCCATGAAAGAATGATGCTAAATAGCTCATGGCACAATTTTTCACCCAATGACCAAGGAATAAGTAACTCTATCCCGATAACTGCAGCCATAGAAACCTGCGTATTACTTTGCTTCTCTATAAAAAAATGAGAGTAAAATCTGTGTGTTACTTTGTTTTATCCCCCATCTGGAACATGCAAAATAAAAATTGGTTCTGAAACACTTCAGCACAAGTCCAACCACTCCAATAGATACCCCAAACCCAGGGCACAAGCTCTGCATTTCCATAAATATCAGATAGCTTTATTGCTTTCCCACCCCTTGTGAATATACATCCAAATTACTTGGACCATTACCCCTCATTCTGTACAAGCTTCACAGTAATATTTCTCAACATCATCCATCATGCATGCATAAAAAAGATTCTTCTTTTGTAGAAATTGGCCAAAATGGCGATAGTTCAACAACTTTTCCTATTATAATCAGTGTTGGTGACACCAACCCAGCAGATGTAATTTTCTCAGAAAGGTCCTTTAGTTCTGCAAACACCTGCATGATTTGCAAATAATAAGTATAATCAGTTATAGAACCCAGAAGAATTGGCTATGCATAAACTATGATTATTTTAAATTGTATTTATTGTTCAGTTCCTAACTGCGGCTACCATTCGGAAGTACAAAATAAAATAAATGTGTGCAAAGTACATAAATCTTAGGAACCAGTGTTTCATCAAAAGAAACTTTCATATTCTGTCAAGCATTAAGAAACAACAGCTTTTGTTTTGGAAACCAGAGATGAGTGAGGGCAGAAGTTGGGAGAGTGGAAGGACTCAGATCAGGGACTTGCCAATTGCCATCAGGAGAAAATGATATACGTTTGCAGTCTGACTATGATTTCACTATTTCAGTGAATTGTATTTTATACAAAAAAAAGAACCTGGAACCAATTTTTCACAATGATAGCTGATTTTCATCTTTCTCAACATACAGGTTCCCAAGTGTAGGTTCGTTTTGTATCCGATGGAACTTGTCTTCAATGATTTTAGGTCTTGCATGATAAAATAGAAGCAAAATTGAAGCTCAATAGCTCATAAATTACACTAATTTTTAAGAGTATTAAGTATTCATTAAAATTCCATAGCGCAAGTCCACCTTCATTCAATTTCCAGAAGCAAAAAGGTATGTTAAAAAAAATGGTCAGATTACCAAAAATAAAAAAATAAAAAAATGGTCATTTCCATTATAAATCAAAGTCCTCTTAATTATTACGTTAATGACTGGAAATGAATGTGATTATAGAAAAGAGACAAATAATAAGTAACTTAATCAATGTAATAGGAAGAGAACAACTATGCAAAAAGGAAGAAACGATCATACTTACCGTGCGCTGCTGAAGTGTGGTTCCTCGCTCAATGGCTGCAGTTGGGATCTGAGGGGACAAACCGTGATGCATCAGTTTCTGTGCAAGAGAAGGGAGGGTTGACAAACCCATATAAACTACCAAGGTAGAATCAGGATCAGCAGCATTTTCTCCTACAAAGAGAGGATCAGTTCCTCCTTTCCTTGAGTGCCCTGTGAGGAATCTCACACTATTTGCAATACCACGGTGAGTTAATGGAATCCCCAGCTCTGCTGCTATTCCAGATGCTGCAGTTATACCTGCAAGTAATGACAATTAACTTATTATAATAGAAGTACCACTATTTCCCCTTTTCTTTTAGAAACCATTACAGAATTGACGAATCAACAGTTGTCTTTCGCATGTTAAACAACATGATCAATTAAAACAAAAATAATAACAGGTGACATGGGCACAACAGGAGTCAATGTTTCACGCTTACATTTCAGATTATTTTTCAATAAATGTATTATATGCTGTGTGAATGCCATACTTACTTTACACATGGTTCCACTCCATTTTAAAGTATGCACTCGCTTCTATTATTTACAATGCAGAAAAATAAAACACTTTCTTTTTCCCCACTCTCTACAAGTATTGCAGTACATGGTTATCATCTTTCCATGCCAATTTAACAACATTATCCTTATTTTGCAATGTCAAGGAAGGAGTCTGTATTTGTAAGAAAAAGTGCCAATACAAGATAATAGGTTGGGTCAATCATAGACACACACACACACACACAACAATAGAGCATTGGTGCCAATTGGTATTTATGAGGATCCAAACTCTTTCTATTACCATTTTCAGCTTAATAAAGACATCAGCAGTATACCTGGAACAACTTTCACTTGGATACCTTGCTGTTGTAAAAAATCCATTTCCTCCCCGCCCCTCCCAAACACCTACAAACACCCAACAATAAGCGTTATAAGACATCTACATTACACATCACACAAGCCATGACAAACTAATGTATCAAGTTGCTTCACCAATAACGTCACATTAGACAACCTCAAATGAAAACTCACCAATGGATCACCCCCTTTAAGTCTCACAACAGTCGCGCCAGCTTCTGCAAAACTCAGAAGAAGCTCATGTATTTCCTCCTGTCACAGATTCACCAATCAAAAAAAATAAAAAAATAAGATCCATTTTGTCAACATGAATGAATCAAAACAACTCTATACCAACAAAATAAAGAACATATATCCAAATCCTTCTTAAAAAAATAAAAATAAATCAACCTATCAAACGAAACCCACAACCCCAAATGGCAAAAATTTTCATTAAAAATCAAAATTTGACTTTAGGAATAAGAAGCAGATTCATTGGCTCGTTATTTAGTTCGAATTGGTGAAATGATGGATCCATAAAAATGATTCAACAGAACGAAACCCACAACCCCAAATGGGAAAAACAAGAAAGACAGTGTCTTTACCTGGGTTCTGCTGTGGTATCCAGCAGTTTTTCCAACATAGAGAAGTTTAGCATCAGGGCCAACCAAATCCAACACATCATTGGACACCAACCTATCATATAACAACAAATCAGCACTCTTCATCACTCTCACAGCCTTCAGAGTCAATAGCTCAGGATCCCCAGGCCCTGTTCCAACCAAGAACACATTCCCCGGCGCACACTTCTCTTCCTTGCACTTCCCTTCACTCTCTCTCTTTTCCCTCAGCACCTGAAGCAGCTTCTTTAGCTCTGGCAGTTGCAGAGTTATGTCATCCTCCCTTATAGCTCCTGAATCAGAAGGAGGTGGACACGACATCGTTTGCCCCAGCCGATTCTCGTACAGCCATTTGTCCCTTTGGTACCGCTCTACGGAATGCTTCTCTGTGAAGGGTGAAGCAGATGAAGAGCTGCAGTTCAATGAAGAAATTGGGTGGCGGCGGTTAAGAAAATTGTAGTTTCTGCTAAAGGGTGAGTGTAGAGAGGAAAAAGATGCAACCTTGTGAAGAACAGCCATGTGGGTGTTTGCCAAATAACCACACGCAAATACAGAGAGAGAGAGAGAGAGAGAGAGAGAGAGAGAGAGAGAGGCCTTAGAAGTTAAAACTCTAAGAGTGGCAGTGTTTGAATTGGAGTGGTAATGTAATATGCAAATTGCAATGGACTTTGGGGAGGTTGAGAAGACAGGATTGTTCTTCGCATTTGGGTTTCGGAAGGGACATGTTTGGAGATTTTCCATTTTTTTTAGAGTAAATATACTTTTAGTACTAGCAAATTTTCAGGAGGTCCGTTTTAGTCCCTAGCAAATAAAAAGGTCCATCGTAGTCTTTAAAAAATTCAAAATAGGCTCATTTAGTTGAAATCTTGGTCCCTAAAAAAATTCAAAAACGACTCATATTAGTTCCTAAAAGGACTAAAATGAGTCCATTTTGAATTTTTTAGGGAGCACGATGGGCCTTTTTATTTACTACGGATTAAAGCGAGCATCGTAAAATTTGCTGAGGACCAAAAATAATATTTACTCTCTTTTTTTAAGTACAGTACAGCAATTGAAAAAGTGTCCTACACATTTTAGCCACTTTTCTGTTTGGGAAAGTGTAATTTACAAGATTAGCCTCGTAGACTAAAGGTCCATTTGGATTAGCTTTTTTTTCTTCAAAAATTATTTTTTTAAAGAAAAAAAGCACTTTTCATCTTTAGTTCGTTTGGATATCTGCTTTAAAAAAAGGAGAAGTCACAAAAAAATCCAAAAACTTACTTTTTCAGAAGCTAAAAATTTTAAATTATCAGAAAAGCAGAAGTCAAAAGTCAAATATTTTTTTCAAAAATTAAATGTTTTTATAAAAATATAAATAGTTTTAACTTTGTAAAAAGTACTTTTAAAATAAGGAAGTGATAAAAGTTACTTTTAGAAAAAGCCGAAACAAACGACCTCTAAGTGGCAATGTTTGGAAATTTTGTAAGTTGGTGATGGTGCGACCAACATGAGAGGTCTGGATAAAGCAAATAGTGATAGTTCAGTAGTTGTTAGAAAGAGAATTGAGTAAGTGAAAGAAAAGGATCTCAATCCAATCCCCATATGTTACCTTTGGGAGAATTTTAAATATCTACATCCTTGACTTATCTTGCACTCCAAATTATTCATATAACTGACTCAAAGAGTCAAAACATGTAGGAATATCGGAGGGAGCCAACTTGCGTTAAAGAGATAATTATAGTTGAGTTAATTCCCAAAAAAAAGTTTTGAAGTACACCGAGACGCAACGGCTGCTTAAGGATGTGTGCAGGTCGATCCAAATTGTTTCTTCATAGTTGCTAGGAAAGTAATTGGCTAGTGCATGTATATTGACTATAGAAAGTTAATTGAGATCACAAGAAAAAACTGCTTCCGAATAGGATTTAGTAAAAAAAAAAAAAGATTTAATTGTACTCTTTTAACTCCTTTCGTTAGTTGTTTTACTTTAGTTAGTTAACTTAACCTTGGTTAGTTGTTTTGTCATGTTGTTGGTTGCTTTACTCTTTTTCTTTCTGGTCTATATCTTTGGAAGATAGCTCAGATTGTAATGAACTGTTGTTTTAGTTCAAACCTCTACAAAAGTGAATGGTATCAAGAGAATAGTTTTCTTTTCGCTTGCGTTTCTGTCTTTCTTTGTTCTCTCATGGCTTCCGTGGAAGACAAATCTCAGTCGTCTACGCCTCCTAAATCTCAGGTGGAGGATCCTTCTAGTCTGTTCTTCCTCCACCACTCTGATAATCTAGGTCTTATCCTGGTTTCGCAACCTCTTTCCAGCGAGAACTAGAACTTATGGAGCCGTTCAATGAAAATGGCACTCTCCGTGAAAAACAAGCTAGGGTTTGTCAATGGCATAATTGTCAAGGCCTTCCGATGTAGATCCTGCTCTTCTTCGTTCTTGGATTCACAATAATGATATCGTCATCTCATGGATCTTGAACTTAATCTCTAAAGAAATATCCGGCAATATTTTGTATTCGAATTTTGTAACATCTCGTTGTACACCGGTATTGTTAACATTGATTATGATATTAAGCACACTTACAATCACAACAGTTTATTTAAAAATATGAGTAAACGTTTTCCTTTTCATTACGTGTGCAATTAAAAATAACATAAAAAGTAATGATACCAACTGTGATCGCAACTGAAATCTAAATGTGGAAGTGATAATATAATTTCTTAGCTATCATATAATCCTTATTTAAAGTTACTAAGAGGTTCCCATAAACCGTCTTAGCACAAATATCATTTTTGCAACTTTCCTAAACTGAACAGCCTTCGATTTTATCAATACTGGGCATGATCCACACATTATTAAATTTCCATCTTTTAGTATGTTAAACTAGACTCTTTTACCTTTCTAACAAGGTATCACATGCCTCATTTGGAGATCTCTAGCTCCGGTTATAACTGTTTGAAGTTGGACAAGCAAAGCTGCCAACCAACTCCAAAAAGAGCACAAAACATCCCTCACCATTCTGCGATTCCCCACGATTTACTCAACCAAATGCTCTCATAGTGACCTTGATCTTTAATTTGGTATATCATAAGCCTAATTTGAGTAAGAATTGAGGGAGATATAATTTTTTGAAAGAGGGACCTGAGACAGCCTCTGCACCTGATCAGTTTGGGCTGTCTTCACTCCCTGCGACCTAAAGAATGCTACAAAATTCTAAATTGCACCAAATTTTGGGACAATATAGCTGACATCTCAACCTTTAAAATGGTATATGGAACATCCCATTTGAACATTTGTAGAGGGAGATACGATCTCTCAAAGTTGGCCTAAAAACTGATCATTCCTTAGAAAATTCAACAGCAACTCCTTTGTTTTATTAACTAATCTCACTTTATCAAAGTGTGTTCTAAACCATCAAATTGTATCTAATTGACAAGGGTGGCACACAAGGTTCAACATACTTGGTGCTCTTACAACCCACAACACATTTGCACCATTTACTTGATTAACTCACAATGTAATCTACACTTAGTTATTAAACCTTTTGATACACATTTCAATCACATAATTCAATTACATGCCTTTAAAATCATTGAACAATATCATAACCTAGAATAGGCATATTTCCTTCCATCACATGCATTCATCATTACTTTACACAAGATCCATGCTTCTTTGATTACATTTATCCATCACAAATATAACTACTACATCAAAAGGCTCCAAATAAAAATAATTACATCACTACTAGACTTAGCCAAAATAATGCTACATGAACAACAACATGCATGGTATACATCACTCATGCTATATAAAATATTCATGCACTAAGTCTAGCCTATCAAATACATCCCAAAATGAAAAATGGCATATAAACTCATGCATCCCAACATGCTCTCCTTATAATCATCTAGTGGGCCTCTTGCCCAAAAATCCAGCATCGCTACATCCACCTGAAACGTAGCCCCATAACGTGGGGTGAGATATAGGAATATATCTCAGTAATCCAAAGGTTCTACAGGATCACTCCGTCCAATGGCTCACTCAGATGTAAAATGACAATGATATAACTATACACATATCATACAAATCACACGGCCCAATGGCCTACGGCATATCAATCGGGCTCTCATCCAAGAATGTATCCCCGGGATATCATTCAAGGCACCCACAACTATAACTCTCGAGACATTCCTAGAGTGCTTCTCAACGGATCACAACTCTATAGCCTCAGGCCAACTGAAACTCTCTACGGAGGCCTCTTCAGTGGAAGTCCCCTACGGCATACGACAACTATCTACTGGCCAGAGATACGGTACAACTCACATGTACCATTCAACAATACATGCATGATCATGTTATAATCTATACTATTGTATTAAACAACTTCCAACCACTACCCTAATGGGCATGGTGGAGCATGTAACACCCCGGCTGCAGTCGGTGTATTAACATACAAATGGTATTTAAAACACAGTTTGCAATAATTAATCGCGGAAGCAATATACTACTTTATATAAATAAACAAGGCTAATCCTCATGGTGGATTAACTTTTTCTTTTAATAATAATTTGTATGTAATTGCAGTACTAAAATAAAACTTGAAATACCTCGTACTCATAAATAACAATTCCAAAGCATCCATAACTTATGGTGCTATAATACAAATACTCAAGTCAATAAATAAACAGATTATTTAATAGTGGCATAAACAAACCCTATGCTCCACCACAAATAACAACATAATCCATCAAGTCTAGTCACAATAGAGTCTCATCATGGCAAAAATAAATAATCATAATATGCATGACTCATAACAATAATGGAATTTCTATGCTGGCCTCTTGCCTCTATCAGTGTCCGTCTCATGAACGTCATCTCCTGAAAATGTACCCCAAAAAAGGGTGAGATTTCTAACAAAAATATCAGTAAGACAAGGGGTCCTCAAGGGATCCTCCACCCCAAGCTCACCTATAGGTATAATATAAGTTATAAAATAATGCAGACACTATATACAGAAGCAGATTAATAACAAGATAAGGGGAATGGCTATACCGGGCCATTTATAGCAGTAAACAATGCAGTATATAAAAAGCATATGCCATGCAATATATCAAATGAGTGTGCAATGCCGTATATGTCTATGTCATGTATGTACGCATCTTACTAGCCAGAGAATAAAATGTAAGCATTACGTACGTCTACAGCCCACAGTACAAGGAGTCCACCATGTACCTCACATACAAAGTTTGTAACAGCCCGTTACGTACCGATATTGTTAACATTGATTATGATATTAAGCGCAGTTACAATCACAACAATTCATTTATAAAAATGCGAGTAAACTTTTTTCTTTTTATTACGCGAGCATTTAAAATAATAATAAAGCGTAATGAATAAAAGCTGTGACCGTAACTGAAAACTAATTGCGGAATAATAATATAAATTGCCTAAATATCATATAATACTTCTCTCAAGTCACTAAGGGGTTCCCATAAACCCACTTAGCAAGAATCTCACTTTTACTATTTTTAACTATCCGAACATGGTTATGTATTCTAGTTACTGCGGAAAATTTTCTTGTCGCGCACCTCTCATATTTTAGTATGTTATTCTAGACTTAATTATCTTTCCAAAAAGCTATCACACACTCCAAAAAGTTCTCGTTTGCTCCGGATATCACCGTTTGAAGTTGGACAAGCAAATCTGCCAGCCAACCTTAAA